GGCAATGACGTCGCAGGAGCACGGCGGAGCCACCGTGCCGGAATTCTGAAATTGGTCGAAAGGGCCCTGGGTCTGATTTGGAGTTTTTTGGGGACATGTGCAGGTATCGGGAGTGTGTTTCAGTTTCCGAAAAAAAATTTAAGGAATCTAGGGACTGCCCGTAGGCACAGTGAGAACCCGATTTCTGGTTCTGAAACAAGTAAGGATCCCTCACCCTATTTCCTATCACGCTATTAAAGCTTAATAAATGATAAAATGGTATTTTATGAGTTAATAGCTATGTATAATTAATTAAGGTTGCTAATTGAGCCCGAATCTGATGTATTTTTCGGTTAGTTGTTATTTGATTTATTTTACAGTTTTAAATACAATATGGTGCCTGATGTGTTTATTCTATGATTTGGTATGCATGAATTACGGTTTCATTTATTATGATTTGAATCATTATGAACCCGATGTTGTGTTGTTTTGTTTGGTGTCCATTACTTGTTTACGTGTTTATATTTGATTGGATAATTGAGATTAAAAAAATAAAAAAAGGTATGTGAATTGATAAATGGATAATGTTGACAGCCTAACTAGATATCTTGGGAGATGGTGGACGGACCGGGTCCATAGAAAATCCTACCGTGAACGTGGTCTCTCATATCGGACGGGGTATGGAGATTTTATGTGTTTTGGCGCCCATACCGGACGGGGTATGAGGAAGACCCGTTTCACCCTCATACCGGACGGGGTATTGAGGTTTATGATTTTGGCGCCCATACCAGACGGGATATGGAGACGGCCTTGGAATTAAGTTATTAATGTGAATGGTTTACGTATAACGAAGACCCCCTATGGATCCCCATGGATACTAGTAGGTTGATAAAAGAAGAAATTTGTTGCCTGATGATTGAAATACAAAAGCATGATATGTATTATGTTACAGTGTGTGTGTGATCTTATGATGTTTATGATGTAATTGTTTTCATGAATCTTACCGAGGTAAGTGGACAGTAAATGATTTTATTATTGATAAATGAGTTTGTTATAAATTATGCTCCATTGGTCGTTTTTGTTTTCTACCAATCTTTACTTATGTGACAGTGAGATAGTGTGATATCTTTAGTAGGCTAGTGTAGCTCATTCCTTACTTAACCTTTTCAGATCAGGAGGAATTGTTTTCCGAGCCCGTTCTGCAGGAAGACGACGAGTAGAGGCCTAAGAATTTATTAGTTTTCCTTATAGTATTCATTCATAGTATTTTCTTTAGTTAGTTGATTCTTTCATACGTTTAATTCGTTTTGGTTATTGTGTAAGGGATGTTAATCATAATCTATTTTATTTCGCTTCCGCACTTAAAATAAATTTATACATTTCTTTTTAATTTCCGGGGCCGTTACACAACAGCTCACCTCTCATCAGCACACCTGCACCTCCTTCAATCTCTCCCCTGCTCTCAGTCCCTTTCTTCCCTCACATCTGCCTTTCTCGCCTCAAAGCACTTTTTTCTCTATCACCGTCAATCACCACGTACACCCCTACGCGTCCATCACAACCCATTCCCTACATTCCTTTCTGCCTCCCTCTCTCTCTCTCTCTGCATTTCACCTCCCCTCCTACAACCCAATTTCGGTATGTTTCCTTATTTCCCCCTTTTCCAGATAACCGGATAACCACCTAGAGCACACACACACTCTCCCTCTCCGCCTAATGCTCGTGTCTCTTATTTATTCCCTTTATGGTGTTCGTCTAACTTCCACTCTCCCGTACGTATCTCGTTTTCTCCTGACTCACCTTTCCCATACTTGTTTACTTTCTTCTCACGGATTCCCTTACTCCTCTTCACTCACAGTCCTACTCGAACCTTTCCGTAACCAGAATCCTTCCCTCACTATCCTATTCCTTTAGACACCTATTTCCTCCTTTAATTCCTTACACTGTCTCAACAACACTGTTCCCGTACCTATTTAACTCTCCTCCCATAGATTCCCCTACTCCTCTTCACTCACAGTCCTAATCAAACCTTCCCGTAACTGACCTTCTTCTTTCGTTCTCCTATTCTGTCAGGCACCTATTTCCTCCTTCAATTTTTTTCACTGTCTCGATAACATCATAAAATCTCAAATGCCAGACATCGTTTCAAAATTTACAAGATTGAATTCACATTAAAAATTCACCATTCCTATGTTTGAAATTTAAATTCACCATACCTCCGGTCTCCATCGTCCTCCACACTGCTACAGCTCACTCCGTCGTCTAACTCGTCTCCTCCTTCTCCAGTTCCCTTTCCTATCCTCGACTAATTCCTCTCTTATCGTCTCTTCCTTCTCTGACTCTCTCTCTCGAATCTTCTCTTGATAACCTCCTCTCCTCTTTTCCTGTTTTTTTTTTTCTTTTCTTCCTCCTCTTTATACCCTCCATGTCAATCATCCCAACCGTCCATTCTTATCCTACAATCCGCATCATTCCTTCTCACTCCTCTCCCTTTTCTATACAGCCATATATATATATACCCTTATTATTACTATTATCACTAATATTTTTTTTTACAACCTAAAAAAAATCAGAATATTTAGTAAGTCTACTATTCATTCATTCATTCACTTAATCAAACACTTTTTCGTTTATATTTAATTTCTAGTTTCACAATTTAATTATAAATCACACAAAACAAGCAATACATGCATCAAGAAAACACAATTGAATCATTTTACCAACTCTAGTGTATTATCATGCTTTTAACAACTGTAAAATCAATCAATAAGTTAAAACAGGATAAACTGTAATAAATAACTTGTTCCGGCTCCATTAGTAACTTGTAATTAATTTTTGAAGTTTTCTAAATTAAGCAAAATACCGTATTATTTATAATTACAATTCAATTCTATCAGAGATAATAAGGTGAGAGATTCTTACCCAAATCATTGTCCGAAATACTAAACTCTCAGCTGCACCTACTGGTGGTTATTGGATTCCCTGAATCGGAGATTAAAATATGCTTCAAGTACCTAAAAATATTTTAAAAAATTCAAAATCGGTGTTAAAATTATTTTTCGACCAATTTCGAAATTCCAGCACGGCGGCACTGTCGCATGCGGCAATGGTTTGCCTCGGACTGGCCATTTTCGACCAGTTTCGACCGATTTCGGCCTTGCCACGCGACGCGTTCAGGTTTGTCGAGCCTACTGACTGGGCATTTCTACGTGATATATTTTTCTTAAATTATATTTTGACCCATGGTTTTCGATTTTTCTTTCAAAAACATCGACAGAACCCAAATTTTCACCTCTTTTTTCTAAAATTATTTTCAATTTCATCATTCATCTATTTTTTTATAAATTTTATATTAAATAAAAATTCATAAATTTAGGAATTATATTTTATACGTTAATTTTAATTTTTTAAAAAATTTAATTACGGATATTACAACGTTCTTATGGCTTATATTCAAAATAAATACATATTTTTTTTTTGTACTTATCTTATATTATGATAATTTTTTATACATGTTATTTACTCAATTACTTATTATTTATATATCACGTTATTTTATTTTACATATCCATCTTCTTTTTCGAAAAAATAATTATCTAATATTTTATGAATGCATTAAACAAATTGAATTAATATCAAAATTAATAAATCTCTCAATATTTAAATAAACATTTAAGACTAAATATAAAATTAACAACAACAACCAAATCAGCATTCTAATACAACCTTGTAACATATATAATGGTTACAAAAATTAAAAAAAATATATAACATAGCAAGACAATAAAGGACGACAATTATGAAATTTATACATACATTCCTTATGCCTACTAATAGTATAGTTTTTTCTACACATATTCGCTATATATCTCAGGGCATTTCACTTGATCACTCGAACAAAGCCGATAAGTGAGCAATCTATTTAATTAGTTATTTTTTATTTGTAACTTTAAAGTTAAACATGTTTTTAATTAGCTTTAAATTTAAACTAAACTATAATATTAACAAATATATGTTAAACATATGCGACTATATTGCAATAAGATATTTAACAAAACCCTATACATGCTAATTAAAATCTACCAAAGTTAGAGATGTCATAAGAATCACGGACTTGTCAAATTCACTTCGATTTATTAAATTCGTTACGGTTTTAAATCAGATTTTATTTAAATTTAGACGAGTTATTAGTTGGAATTCATTTATTTTTTTACTTCAATTATATTTTATCTATTATTGTAATAAAAAATTTATAAATAATTATTATATATATTTAAATTATGATGTATGAGTAACAGTAATTAATTAATTAAATTATATAACCAGATTCTTTGTGCTTAATTAAAAATAAAAGTCTACATTAAAATATACATTATTATATTAATTTTATTTCAAAAAATTAACATGTGATAGTATTGGGTAATGTTTATATTTATATATATATATATATACATACACACACAATAGCATTATCCTGATAACCAATAATAGCGTGATTGCTTGCTTATCTGATGGAATCCCAGCTCACAACCATTTGAATGATTCTATCACAAATAACACGTTCCCGTACGAGTACTCAATTTTTTTTAAGTCAACAAGTCTGACCTGTAGCTCTTAAAATCAACTCTGGCGCGTCACTCATATCCTCTTACCCCACAATTTTTTTTTTATTTTTCCCTAATTTTATTTCAAGACTAAATTTATTTATACGAAAATTTTATTTTCATAGAATATTTAAATATTAATAATTTAATTGAATTTTAAAGTGATTATTAAAATTTATGAAATATTTTTACATGAAAATGAATTCTGAGTCAGCATGTGGCATAACAGACTATTTTAAATCACGTGCATATTTGGTATTTGCACGTGCAGTTTGTTGAAAAACAGTTTTTATTCATTTATTTTTTCTAAATCTGAAAAAAAAACAGATCCGATCCGATTATTTTTACCTTTTATAATTATTTAATTATATTATTATTTTTTTAATTTTTATTTTAAATCAAAAGGAAGTTCTCCATTCCAGTATAACAGAGACTATAGACATCGCTGTGTATAAACGTGGTTACGACACAGACAGGCTTACTAGCTTACTTGGGAGCTTATTATAAGAATTGCAGGCGGAAAACGAGGTTTGCAATCTCTGTAATGGCAACTCGGAGTGATTCTGTTGTTGGTTTCGTGGGGTTGGACGAGTTGAGCTTGGACTTGGCGGCTTCGCTTTTACGCTCTGGCTATAGAGTCCAGGCCTTCGAGGTGACATTTCTGTCATGTTTTTTTGCTGTTGTTGACTATATGTGATAGGTAGTATACCTGTTCGGTTGCTTAGAAAACGCAGGATCATCAAGGATAGAAAATGGAATAGGGGATTGGAAATTTCTTGGGAGAATGACTTTTCCGGGAAAATTTTTCGTCCGTTTGGGAAACTATGATTCACTTGTAGAAGAATATCATGAAATATTCTTTCCTCTTATTGTCCGATTCTTTGTAATACTTGGAACTCTTTTCTCTTACTCTTTGCTTTTTGTTTTTTTTTTGGCTAAGCGTCGTCATGTTACTAATTTATATCCAAAAAGCTAAGCATATGAAAGAAGAAACTGGAACTTTTTTTTTTTTTTGGATAGAAAAAGAAGTAAGAAGAAACAGCAATCATCCATGTTCTTTACAATTTAATTAGTTTTCTATATAATTATCTTCAATAAAAATGTTTTTCATCCTTTATGGTTTAATTATCCTATTCTGATCAAGGTGGAACTTACCCCAGCAGTTAGAGAAATCATCACTAAGTAGACACATTAGGCACTTAGATGTTGTTGTCTTTGAATCTCAAAGCTCCAAAGTCAAAGCTAGTCCGTTGGTTCGCCCTCCAACCTATTGTTATGAAGCCAAAATTTGACTGGGTCAGAAATATTTTTATGTCCCAAAGATCAGACAGGATCAGCTCCTTCCCTCTTGTCTTGTTTAATTATGGTTATCATTATTATTACTTTTGTAATAGTTGGAGTTGTACTGGCACGGGATGGGTGGTGTTACAAGAGCATTTAGTGTTGTTGTGTAACTATGCATTAGAAGGAAACAACCCCAAAAAATGAAATGAAAAAGAAAAAAGAAAAGAACAAATAGTTTTTCTATTTGGAAGGAGAATTGGGCAGATATTTGAAGGAGCAAAGAAACTATAATAAGAATTTACAGAAAATGGTTGTATTGCTTACATGAGCTAACATTGCAGGAAGGGCAGTGTTGTCTAACTGAAATATGTTTATGCCATTGTTGAGATTTAGTACTATAGTACAGCCCTCAAAGACAAAATGAAGGAAATAAAAACAATCACTCCCCACATTTTAAAAGATG